AGTCAGCAATAAAACCACCAGGACCTGGGCTTTCTGTTCTTTCTTTTTTTATTTTCATAGAGGATCTCAGGAAATTGCCCAGGCTGGGCTCAACCTCGCATTCTCCTACCTTAGCCTTCTGGAGTGCTGGTATTACAGGCATGCACTTTTCTTTCTAAATAGCGTCATAATATACATGGGTATGCAGATGTCTGTATATTGTAGTGTATACTATGTAGTGTATACTATGTATACTATGTAGTGTATACTATTCCTTTGGGTATACAACAGTAGTATAGCTGGATTATATGGTAGTTTTAGTTTTTGTGAAGAACCTTTATACTGATTTCCATAGTGACTGTACTACTTTACATTCCCATGAATGGTATATAAAGGTTTTTTTTCTCCCACATCCTCATCAACATGCATGCATGCATTCACTCACTGCATTCATTCATTCAGGTAGCCATTTTGACTGGAATGAGTCAAATCTTAATGTAGTTTCAATCTGCATTTCCCTGATAACTGAAGATACTGAATATTTTTTCTTATTGACCATTGTACTTTTGAGAAATATCTCCAGTTTATTATCCATTTATTGATTGGATTAATATTGATAGCTTTTTGAGTTTCTTATATATTTAAGGTATTATCCTCTGTTGGATAAATAGTGGTCAAAGATTTTTTTTCCATTTGGTGGGCCCTCTGTTCACTTTTTTTTTTCCTTTTTGATACATTCTCATTTGGCAGTTCTTGCTGTTTCTTGAGGTATTGCAGACCTGTATTCAGGAAGTCTTTTTCCTGGACCTATGAATTCAAGTGTTTTCCCTATGTTTTCTTCTATCGGTTTCAAAGTTTTAAGTCTTATAAATCTTATACTTTTAAATTGATTTTCACACAGAGCAAGGGATAGGTATCTAGTTTCAGTTTTCTACAAGTGGATATCCAGTTTTCTTAGTACTGTTTATTAAAGATGGGGGTATTTTTTGTTTCAGAATCAGATGACTATAGTTGTATATGTTTGTTTCTGTGTCCTGTATTCTATTTCTTTGGTGTATGTGTCCAGGTTTATGCCGGTACCATTCTATTTTTGTTACTACAGCTTTGTAGTAAAATTTGAAATTGGGTATTGTGATGCCTCTAGCTTTGCTCTTTTTGCTGAGGATTGCTTTGACTATCCTAGGTCTTCTGTGTTCCCATATGAATTTTAGGATTGTTTTTTGTAGGTCTGTGAAGAACATCATTGGAATTTTTATGGGAATTGCATTCAATCTGTATGTTTTTTAATAATATGCTTATTTTGACTATTAATTCTGATCCATGAACAGGGAGGTCTTTCCATCTTCCTGTGTCTTCTTTAGTTTCTTTCTTCAGAGTGCTAAAATTTTCATTGTAGAAGTCTTTCACCTCCATAGTTAGGTTGAGTTTCCCACATTTGTTTTCTGGCTATATAATTATAAAGCTCCAAATTGTGAAACAGAATTACACTTTTAGGGAATAACAAGCTTTCCAATTAATACATATCACATGAAGTGATTAGGCTATCTACATATTATTGACTTTTGAGAATTGATTTTGGAAAGATTTTAAATTTTCGGTGAAGTTATATTTATCAGTTTTAAAAACTGTCTTGTGTTTTTGTCCTATCAAAATTTCTTTTTGTTTTCTTCTAGAAGTTTAGTTTTAGCTCTCACATTTAAGTCTTTGTTTTATTTTTACTATAATTTTATGTATAGTGTGAGGTTAAAGTTGAGGACAGGGAAGGGGAGTAAAAAGATCAAGATTCCACATGCATTTGTGCCAATACCTCATTATGAATATATTTTTTATAAATCACAAACATATAATAATGAGTATTTTTTGAAAGTTGAGGTTCACCGTATGTGGTAGTACATGCCTATAATCCCAGCACTCGGGGAGGCTGAGGCAGGAGGATTGTTGCAAGTTCAAAACCAGCCTGGGCTGTAAAGTGAACTCAAGGCTAGCCTGAACTGCAGTGACACCCTGTCTCAAAAAGACAAAAAAAAAAGTTGAGGTTCATTTATTTGCATATGCATACCCAATCCTTTCAGCACCATTTGTTAAAAATATCCTCCTTTGCTCATTAAAATATGTTGATACCTTTGTCAAAAATAAATTGATGAAAATTTGACCTATACTCCTCCACTGAATACAGCTATAAAACCTGGCAGAATATGAACAATAGCTATTTGAGGATAGCTTTTTGAGGGATGTTGAAAACAAAGTACTAGTAAGAGAACAGAATTTGAGGTACTACTGAGTATGCTTTGAGTTTGCCAGTTTTTTCCTTCAATTCTTCCAACCACATGACCCTGATGTTGTCCAGCACAGCAGGGTAAAGTCCCAGATTTTTTCCTGTGGTACCCAAAAGAGAAACCTTAGGGAAATGGAAAGTACATGGAGCAGGAGGAACTATGGAAAGCCACCCTATAGCATTGATTATGAACTCCCATGTTTCATTCACTTTTGGCTCCACATGCTTGGATATGTTCCTAGACTCAACTGAACAAAAGACTAGAACACTACCCAGTTCCAAAACCGGTCACTGGGTGGTGCATGAACACAGAAAAGCTTTCAAACATGAACTAGCACTGGAGTCACAGCTCACAGAAGACAGGCTCCAATTCAAGACCTGAATTTGCCAGGCTGATTGCCTACTATCAAGATTCTCCAGTGTATTTTAAACAAGTCCCATAATTTCACAATGTCACTATATTATACATAAATGTTTAACGAATAAAAATTTACTTGGCATATGAGGAACCTGGGAAGTATTCACACAAAAAGGACAAAATATATACTTAATGTAGCTAGCATAATAAATTAGAACGCAGAAAATTGATAAAACTAAGCTTGTGCAAGGTAGGTAAAAGTCTTGAAGACAGGGCTAGGCAGAAAATTCATGAACAAAACCTAAACTGCACAGGAAGTACTTCAAAGAATCAATAACTAGGATGCCATTAAAATGTTTTTGCACCTCAAAAGAAATCACCAACAGAGTGAAAAGAAAACCTATGAATTGGGAAAAAAATTTACCCGACTCTACCTCAGATAAAAGACTTCTATCTAGAACATATAATTGAAGAAAATCAGGCCCCAAAATTCAAAGACCCAGTCCAAAAATGGGAATCTGAGAAGAATACACACTTCTCAGATGAAAAATACAAATGGCAAATAGTTGTATGAAAAAAGTGTTCAACATCACTGGTCATTTGAGAAATGCAAGTTAAAACAAGACTCAGACTCCATCTCACCCCAGAAAGAATGGCTACCATCAAGAAATCAATGGCAAATTCTAGCTGGGCGGTGGGGGAAAAAAGAAAAGTGTTGGTGGGAGTGTAGACTGGTGCAACCACTGTGGGAATCAACGTGGAGATTCCACTAGGTTTGGAGGTCCCATTCTATCCAGCTATTCCCCTTCTGGGTATTTTCCCAGAAGAACTGAAACCAATATATGTGCACTCATGTTTATAGCAGCACAATTTGTAACAACTCAAATGCTCATCAACTGAGGAATGGATTAAAAATGTATTTTTATACAATGAACTGCTGAGCTATAAAGAAGGATAAACTTAAGGCTTTTGCAGGTAAATGGATGCAACTTGAGACCATACAAGTGCAATAAATCAGAATTATGTGTGTAAACGTTGTATGTCTTTCTAGTGTAAAAACTGAAAGAGTAAGATCCGAAATGTACAATAGATATTGTGAAAGTGAAAGGGGAAGAAATGCTCAAAAGGAAAGAACAACTGGGATGGGGGAAAGGAGAAAAGAAAGACAGGAAAAGACTGCATATATATGTACAAGATAGGTAATTATACTAATGTTGGTTAGCTCATTAAGAACAACTTGTGTTTTCATTGATCATTTTCATGCCTGTATCTTGTAATCTGAGCAACTGCTTTGAAGATAACAATATGCAATATATTAACCATTGTTAATCTGTTACTTTGCTTTGAAATTCTGTATCATCATTTTTATTCTTTCTTGTTTAAAAAACTAAGAGCTTGTATTTTGAAAATACTGATAAATATAGATAAGCCTGTAACAATTCTGAATAGAAAAATTAATAACATGAAAAATGAGTGAAAGGTTTCTAGCCACTGATAGAGACCATAAAATTATACCAACTGTAACTATATGCCAATACATTTGAAAATATATAAGTAGTTAATTTTCAAGGAAAATGTTACCAAAATTTACTCATGTGAATTTATGTGTCAATTTATATAGGCTACATGATGCTTTAGTAGTTGTCACCAGACCTGGTGACCACATGTCTACTGCAGGTCAAGGGTGGCTATGCTCCATGATGACTTTACTCCTGAATTCAGCTTCTATACAAGCTGATAGAAAAGCCTCTAACTGGAACATTTTGAGTCACTTGGCCAAGCCATGGAAATGAAATATAATTCTTCAAAGAAGAGCAGTGAACATAATGTGAAAAACAAAACAGTCAGTATTGTATGGTGGAGAACCAAATCTACCCACAAACATGAATAAATTCAAAGGACTGTCAAAGATCTATATCCCTTTTCATGAAAGAAAGAAAAAAAAAAACGGACAAAAGGAAAGAAAGGAATCCTGAATCCCAAAGCTCTGAGTGAATTTCTATCAAACCTTCAAGAAATAGAGATCATCTCCACATTATTAATGATCTTATGTGGCCAGCATAACCATAATGTCAAACCATCAAAAATTTTCAATGTGTTTATCACTGAACAGGACATATGAGTTATTTTGATACATAAATTGAGAGGATACTGTATAAAATTGCCTCCCAGTGGAAAACTTCCATATATATTAGTGTAGTCCTACAGAACACTATTTTGTCTTGCTTAACCCACAATTTTCCAAATTTATTTGTAGATGCTTCTCAACCCTAGATACCTCTTAATCCCCATAAAATACATTTCTGGAAATAGTTATGAACCATTTTAAAACATGAATATAAGTGCAAAGATCATAAGTAAGGTATTAATAAATAAGGCCAAGCAGTATTTTAAAAATGAACAAAGGCATTTATTCTAAGAATGTGGTAAAATATGGTTAAACATAAACATTTCCTAATATAATTAATTGCATAAATAGATTAAAAGAAAGAAAATAATTTGATTTTCTTAAGGGATACAAGAAAGATACTGAAAAAAAAAAACCACATTCTTTCTAAAAGCACTTGGTAAAGTAGTGATGTAATGAAGAATTGTATGGCCTAGTAAAAATAACACGATTGAAATGCTGGAAAGAAGGAAAAAGAAAAGTACCCACCATCACTGCTATTATTCACAATTTTAAATTGTAATCACTGTAAATCAACAAAAATTGAAGTATAAATATTAAAAAGAATAACATTATTTTTAGACTATGATATCTTACCTGGAAAACAAAGAGATTAGTTGAAAAAACATTTAAAATAAGCAAACTTAGTAAGATATTTGGTTATAAGATATAAACAAATCAAGATTTTTGTACACACTAATGACAAGAAATTAAAACATGCATCTAGTAAAAGAACTCATTCAATTACTAGAAGTTATAAAATAGGAATAAATAGGAAATGGCTAAACAGAAAAATTTAAAAAGTTACTGATGGACATAAAGGATTAAATAATGGAATGATATATAATTCTTTTAAAGATGTTTGTGTCTGCCACATATCAATGTCAACAAACTAATGCAATTTCCATAAAAATCCAACATTACCTCAGGAGAAACTTGACACATTTATTCTCAAGATTTAATATACTGCATGAGAATAGCAAAGGCAATTTAAAGAGAAAAGATAAAGTCCTACTGTTGAGTGACTTTAACTAAAAGAATGTAGTATTAGGGCAGGAGTAGAAAGACTAGTAAATTTAAACAACTTGGACATATATGAAAATTTAATATTTCAAAAGGGTAGAATTCCCAGTCATTAAAGAAGTATTTTACAGATGGTGCATAGACAAGTAGCTATTCACTTGGAAAAATAGTTGTCCTCATTTCGACATCCTATACATAATTCTTAGGGAATCCCAAATTCATTATAGGAAATTATAGAAAAATGGTTTTCTAAGTTTTGGATAGAGAAGACCTATTTACACCTAACATTATTGTTACAAAACTTTAAGACAACATGATACAAGAAAAGTAGCATAGGATACATGTACAAAAATCAAAAGGTAGAAAATCTTATACAGTGAAAGTTCTTTCATACTATGTCCTCCAACCATTTAAAGAGTGTTTCTAATTTCTTATAGACAATAGATTTGCTCACTGAATATTAGATACTTCTATATTGCCAAATAGCTGAAAGTTTAAAATGTCTGAAAAACCAGAAAAAATTGTAACGTATGTGATGTATGAAGAACTAATTTCCTTATATCTAGGGAAATCTTACTAATATAAGAAAAAAGTTAAGCACCCTTTAAGGAATACTTTTGGCTGCAAGAAACAGAAAAACAAAGATAGGTACATTTAAGAATACTGAAGACCGGGGATATAGCTCAGTGACATAAGCGCCTGCCTGGCAAGCACAAGGTCCTGAGTTCTATTCCTGGTACCCAAAATACAAAAAATAAAAATACTGATACATTATTTACTTCTCTGTTTTTTCAAAGATTTAAAAATTTGACAATAATGCCTAATGTAAATATTACACTGCCCATAGACATTTAGTAAATTGTTTCTGAAGAGCAATCTGAACTATATTTTTTGATTCATAAATTCTACTTCTAGGATTTTGATTTGAGGACATAATTGGTCAAATACACAAATATATATCATTGTAGAATTGATAAAGTAATTTATAACAGCAAAGAATTACAATCTAATGAGGATTGATTAAATAAACTACTATACGTTCATACAGTGATGGTATTATATCAGAAAACTTGGAAAAGTGGAATAAACTGAAGGGGATTTACTATCTCATGTTACAAACAGTCTTCATATAAGGAAGGTGGCTCCAGTGTAGTTAAACCCATCACAAAATGATATCAAGGACCCAGTTTTCTTCAATCTCTGCTATCTTTAGTATGGTAATTAACTTTCCATCTGGTCACATTCCACAAATATGTACAGGTACTGACCGATTGTAGTTTACAGTAATTAGCAAAGATGGGCATAATAGCCCCTAACCTCATATATTTACAGAAAATATACTGTATGTGAAAAAAGTAGTAACAGTATGGATTACATGATTACATTTATGAAAAACATTCATTTAGGTGTAAACATATCATAATACCTAACATTTTCTGAGTATCATGTGATGTTTAACAAATACCTTTATATAGAATATATAAATTAATCCTCAACAACCTTACAAGTTAACTACTACTATTACCCAGTTATATGTGTGGATATACTGGGACTCAATGATATTAAATCACACATATAGTTTCTGGTAGAGTCAGAATTTGAACTTGGGTCAGTCTTACTCCAAAATACATACCCTTTATTTGTAAAATAATTTTTTGAAAAGTGAAATTTAAAAATCTAGAAAGAAATGGACCAAACCTTAAACCATCATCTTTAGGAACTGATGGATGAATGCTACTGATGACAAGAGCCAAGAGAAGGAAGGAGGATGACAAAGTGAAGGGTACATTGATAAACTGGCAGTGGGAAATAGTTGATTGCCTGAAGGTTGTAAAAAAAACTTAAATCATGGCTCATGGGAGATGATAGACAACTAGAGCTTTTAATTAGAGAATTTCAGAGGCTGCATAAAATTTAGTAGTGCTTCAGGACAGAGCCATGTGTAGATTTTACTGAAGTGAAGAGTCAAGGTCAGCAGATTTAAGTAGGACAAGAAAATCATAGTTATTGGTTATTCAAGCACATATCCATGCTATAGTTTGGATAAATACTGGTGAACAAGATGATCTCATATGAGAGGCCATATCATGCTGGGCCTTGTAGCCATGTGAAGAAATGTAAGATTTATCTGGCTTTTGTTCCAAATGTGATGAGAAACCATCAGTGGAATTTAAGGAGGGCAATGACTTGCTATGGCATGTTGTGAAAAGATTAATCTGTTATGTTAGGAATCCTGAGTGTGTGAAAAAGAGCAGAAATAAGGAGATGAATTAGCAAGATACCAAAGTAGGTTAAGAGATGCTAGTGGCTTGGACAAAGATGGAAATGGGGGTAAATGGTGGACAGACATATTTTAAAGACAGATTAACAGTTCTTGATGAATTAGATATGAGAGGTAAAGACAAGTGAGGAATTATGGGTAAATTCTTAAGTTTCTGTGTTGGGCAAGGCTATAGATGGTGGAAGAGAGGAAAAGAGATGACAGACTAGGATGGATAGAGAAGATTTTTATGGATATTGGTTTTAGTATTGGATATTGTAAGTTTGAGGAATTTGTGGTTGTGTGTAATAGGAAAGATAGCTGTAACAGCGTAAAACAAAGAAGAGTAGACTGAAGTCCTTTACTTGAGATTTAGCAAGGTACAGACAATAACTGAAGTTATGAGAATGGGTATGGTTGTAGTGGAGAGGATGAATAGCCATAAAAAAGAATTGGTCCTCTGACAGAACTGAGAACACCAGTTTCCTGAGAGGCTTGGTGAAGGCAGGAATTATATTACCAACCACATGTTGGCAAATGACTCCCCAAAGTTCTGTGGGTACATTTCAGTTCTTATCATCCTAAACCAATGGCTGAATTGTAATACTTTTGTCCATTTCTTCCTATGAAACTATACTGTTCAGGGTTTCCATTGTCTTTTTCTAAGTTTTCTTTCCCTTTGTACCCTAAACTTTGTTGTTCCCAGGGGATATTAAAGTAAGACTCCAGGCTGTCAGCAATGACTTCTAGAGCCACATCTTACCTAGAGTCTGGAGTTTGGACTTCATGGATGCAAGGAGAGCAATCTATGTTAAGTATCTTGGGTAAACGAATTATAGATAGATAGAAGAGCAAGTACGAAGGCCCTGAGGTGAGAATGTGCTTGGTGCATTTGAAGAACAAGAAACTAGTTGAAGTAAAATGAAGAAGGGTTCAGCAGTAAGAAATAGGGTAACAGTAGTGATAAGTGTAGAAATGGAATTCATTTCTAAGGGCTCTCCTACAAGTCATTGGAAGAACTTTGTATTTAAAACAGTGAAATGGATAACAATTGTACAATTATGAGTAATTATAACTAATGTTTGCCAGGCTCCCTCTGGCTGCTGTGTATGGAGCAGATTAAGTAGGAGAACAGTGAGGTGGAAGAACAGAAGCTGCAGGGAGAACAGATATCACAATAAGTCAAATATCAAGTGATAGTGGCCAACACCAGTGTGTTAGCAGTGAAAATGTTGAAAAAGTATCAGATTCTGGTTATACTTTTAAGGCAAAAGCCAGTGAAATTTCCAGATCAGATGTAGACTGACTTTATTAGATGAAAGAAAGGAGTAAAGGATGAATGACTCTTAATGTTTTTTGGCAGAAATATATAGAAAAAAAGTTACCATCTACTGAAAAAAAGAAAGGCCATGGAATAATCAGAGTGGGGAGGAAGACTAGGAGCTTGATTTTTGACATGTTAAATTTGTAACACCTAATAAATACTCAAATGGAGCTGTCAGGTAGGCATTTAGTTATAAGGGCCAGTAGTTCATGGAAGAAACAAGCTGGATTTATAAATTCAGGACCTCTTGGCTTATAGATGATATTTAAAGCCATGAGGTCACCAAAGAAATTAATATAAATGAAGAAAAGATGATCAAGCCCTTGGGGGTATCTTAAGAAGTGATGCAGTATATCAGATGCTGTGACACTGCATTTTCTTCTTCCTTCCCTTCATTTGTTCATGGTTATAAAAGTGAATAAATCTATGTCCAGGCTCATAATCATGTGGCTTTCCCTGTTATATCCTCCACTGTATGTGTACTGTCCATCTTAGGAACTATATTAAATGACTGTGTTCCAATTTGAGCCCTCCTACTCCAAATGATACTGACATGAAAAGTACACCATAGTAGGGCTGAGGCAATTTAGCCTAGAGAAAAAGACTTTCCAGGAAGCCAGTACAGGCAACTACCTGGGGAGAGAATTAAGGCCTTTGATTAAAAATTGCAATGATGAAGATTTAGCCTTGACAGAACCAGCTTTTCTCATGATAATGTGCTGACCAAGAAGTAGTGAGGCTTGCTTCTGTGTCTTTTGATATGATGGTCATATTACTTTGAAAAATCATGTTTTCTTTCTGGCTTTGAGTTACTGATGAATCTGGTTGTGCAAACTATATATCATATCTTATTGATATCCTTGATAATGGTTGCTACACTGAAGTGAAAGATTCTGGAAATAGCTACAACACACACTTGGAATCTCACAATCACATAATCAACCATTTTACTAAATACAGGCATATTTTCATTCACATACAGCTAAATAAAGATTTTTTTCACATTTCATTACAGTGTACAACAAAGTGAGGAAAAGTATACAATACATTTTATTCTGGAATATAAGACAATCTAATCCAACATGCAGTTGTGTTCTTTGTTACAAGTTAATCTGTTCTTTACCTACGTAGTAAAATAGCTTCTAAAGCTTTATCCTTGTATTATAGTAACACCTGATTTTTTCACACTTATGTTCTAAAACCCACTTGCTGCAGTGACAATAGCACTGAATTCTACTAAAATGTTTTTTTTAAGTTTCTAGAACTTATTTAAGCAATTAAATTCAGCCATCTCTGCTGGGATCTATGCTGAGTATTTAAAATCTGCTTTTTAAATGTCAGAAATGGGAAAGTATACATATAATGTATTTCAGTCAAGAAAACTATATAGCTTTGTTTCTATTCTTTTTTTTAACTAACAAGTATCCAGTTGACTCTCATTTATCCACTGGATAATCTTGCTTTCTGAATCTTCCAAATATAATTAATTATAGTAGTTGACATTTTTGTTGACCCAATTAACCAACTTTTATTTGCCTCGACCACCAAGAAGCTAACAATTTAAGGGTGCCACCCAAGCCAGGTCATGTGAAATGAATATAGAGAAAATGATCAGTTCACTTGTAGTTGATGCTGTGAATTGGTCCATGGTGCTCATCCAAGTTGGGGCACAGGTGACAGAATGGTCTCTCAGAATTTTCATTGTTTGGCTTCGTTATTCTGGCTGGAGCAAATTCCCAAACTTTCAGATTCAGTCACATTCATACTGAAGTTCAACATCACATCTCAGAAACAATTTGCCATTCTTATGCTTTCCTACCACAATGCATATGAGAAACCTTACCCTAATCAGAATAGTTTTCTTACTGTGAAAAGTATGGCTTTTGCCTAGCTGAACTGGCTACAATCCCAAAAGTAATTTAAAGCATTGCTTTTTTTCAAGAAGATAATGGAACCTTCAAGTCATTCCAATTTGCTGATTCAGTTAGCTGTCTATTCTCCTGAGAATTAAGAGATGACTCGCTAGGACCTAGCTTCCCAAACCCCAGGCATATAGCAGACAGGTGACCAAGATCATTGAGGGGTGAGTATTTTATCCCCATCCTAGGCCTCATTGCTGTATTTGGTTCCTTTCAATAAAATGTTCATTGTATTTCAGTGGTAAGAACACTTATAGCTCACACAATTCTAATGTGTTTTCACATGTGCAATTAATCATTTGTTTAAAGCCCTCTTGCCAAAAATACCTGAATGGGCTTTTCCTTTGATTCATTCCCAGGTTCCCTCAGGATTATAGCTGAGTTGTAATCAATAGGGAAATCATATCCTAACCTAGAGAGAAAATGTATTTATAGTCATGTATCTTACAAAGTAAACAAATGAATAATTGTTTATTCATTTGACACAATAATGATCTAGTAAAAGGAACTATTTATTAAGAGTTCTTGACCATGAACAAGTGAGTGTCCTTGCACTAAAGCTTACTATTCTGTAAAATGTGAAGGGAAAAAAATCTCACAGGCCTGCTGCAATGATCAAATAACTAGAGTGACTTTAACATGCTTATAAGGTGTGCCTACTGTTGAGCAAGTGCTCCACACAAGTTTGATTGCAAGAGTTTGCCTCAGGGCTCTTTTCAGAGGCAATTCCTGTGTTGCTTCTCAGGTGCCTGAAGAGGTAGGCAGGCTGCTAACTTTGAATTTACAATTGCCAAAACAGTGAAACTCCAGGTATGGTCAGGTGTTTGGGTTTCAACGTTTTCCTGTGCTATTTATGTGGTAATTTGCATGGGACAACTGATTTGACACATGTTAACTCTACCACAAGGGTATGCATTTTCTCAAGTGTCATAATAATAGTGTGTGAAGTCATCTCCCTTTTTCTATTCACATCTTTTTACTAGAACACCACACCTTGAAAGGGCCTTATCAAATTGCTGGTCCATGCCCCTCATTTTACAGAAGAACTGTTAAGAGGCAAATTGATATTTTTAAATTGAACCTAATACACACACTTGGCATAAGCTGCTCTCATTGAATGAGTAGATCTCATACTCTTTGTTAGTTATGTTAATTGTTCCCAATATGCTATTTTTCCCTTACATAATTATGGTTATGATTTATGAACAAGCCGAAATACCAAGGAACAATTGTCCTGTCTGTAGGTATGTTTTCCTGGGACCTAGCTTCCCAAACCCCAGACCCTTAACATGTCCACAAAGGGCACATGGAACAGCCACTACCAAATATGTGCCACAAAACAGTGTATGGCCCAGCCCATGTCAGCAATTCAGTCCCTCAGTCAGAGCACCCAGTTTTCGCCATCCACCCACACATAAACCTGTAAAAGCCACCCACCCCACCCCTAAAGGAGGCTCACTTGGTATCCAAAGTTTTGAGTTTTCTTCAGTCACATAAGGGTTCTATTTGTTTTGATCACTTTTAAGTTCATGTGGGAGAGCATGTTTTGGAAATAAAAGGACTAGCACAAACATCTCCTCTCTGATTTGACAACCTCTTCTGAAGAGTGAACCACATTTGGTACAAATCCACTCTTCACCCCTTCCCAGCCCTCCTGGATTGTAATCTCCCCCCTTTTAACCAGCTCATATATGTCTCTGGTCAGGTCTGTGAAGGCCTTCTCCACATTAATGGCATCTCGGGCTGACGTCTCAATGTACTTCATGCCGTACGCAGCAGCCAGTTTCTCGGCCTCGTGGCGAGTCACTTGCCTCTGTGTATCCAGGTCACACTTGTGACCCACCAGAACAAATACAATTTGGTAGGGCTGAACGTGTACTTTGGTCTCTTCTAACCACTCATGGACATTCTGGAAGGACCTGCGGTTGGTAATGTCAAATAAGAGAAGACCACCTACTGAGTTCCTGTAGTAGGCGCGAGTGATGGATCTAAAACACAAGAAAGAAGTAAAGAATAAAGGTTGTGCTCAAACTCCTTCACTCCAATGAACTCAGTGTATCCTAGTGTTCCTGGCTAATGACATAGTCCTTTAGTAGGAGTCACTTTCTTTTGTTTAAATAAGAGAATACAAATGCCATTTTTTAATACATGTGAGTTTTCAATTGGGTGAAATTTTGAGATGGCATTTTCTAGAAATCAATGCTCATGGAATGTCAGGCATTTTCCTTTGATTGAACATTGGAAAATAACCTTGGGAGATGACCAAGTTCTACTTCCTGCCTTCCAGTTGGAATCACAACTAATTCTATTCCCAAATCTGAATAACTGACAAAGACTTCCTCTTCTGCACAATAAGATTCCCTAAGTCAGAGGGTTTTTGTGAGGCAAAATGAAATGAATGCTAGTGTTCTGTTCATGGAGAGTTCATTACAAATGCAAGTAACAAACAGGATTTAAGAATAAAAATTAATTTATGAGTTAAATTATAACTATAGCTACCTTGTGTTACACTCCATTTTTCTATTTATGTCTCTTTCTGTCTTTCCATTATTCCAGCAATAATGGAATAATTATGGAATAATAATAATTATTATTTCATCATCTAACAGGAGTTCTGAATATCTTCTATGAGGAGAAATGTAATTTTGTTTTTTATTTTCCAGGCCATATGGGAATGGAAAAAAAGGGAATGGCGAAGGGTTCAGAAGCAAAAATGCCTCTCTATACTACTTGTTGACAAATAAATGATCTTAAACATGGACTGTTGAGTCTTTGGGATCTGAATAAGGACTAGCTGAGAAAAAGGACCCTTAAAATGACAGTTTATTGGAATCATTATAATTAGAGTATTAATTACAATACAAATAGAGTATCTAAACCTTATGATACATTTGCTGTACTTCTGGCTTTTTGAGATAGGGTCTCACTGTGTAGCCTAGGCTGGCCTTGAACTCATGGCAATTCTTGTGCCTCAGCCTCGTGAGTTTTGGGATTATAGGTGTAGCTACCACACCTGGCTTTGCTGTCCTTAAAAATAAGAAATCTCACATATTTTAACTTCTTCACTTATTTTTTTAACTTCTTCATTTAATGAACCTCATTATAAAATATATTACAGTCCTTTGCCTGGAGTGCATGAACTTATTAGAGAGTATACAACTACTGGCCTCTACAAGCACTTGCTTCAGATTACTGTGATTGTTGATGTATGCCTATTTATTGGTTTTATGTTTTTGGATGAGGAAGATAAACAATGAAGGACTCAATAGCTTAAAGCTTATGGAAAATGCCCTATGTTAACAGAAGAAAAATTGTCTGGGGAATTACAGTCCAATCTAGATTATGGTAAGAACAAACATTACAAATGAGTTCAAGTCTCCAGAAGTAGGCAAATTATCCCTAGAGAATGAAAAAAATTCTAATTCCCTTATGATCAAATATTCTTGAAAAATGGTATGTATACTAGAAAATTAGACATAAACAAAAGTTCTGATTTGTTAAGCTTGATTTGAGAAATCAATAAGCTAGCTGTAAAAACATGTCTAAACTCTAGAAATGTGTTATTATATGAGTGCCTTGTGAGTAGTTAATAATGCAAGTTGCAAAGCCCTTTCTAAGGACAACATAAAAGTACACAAAATTTAATATCTTCCCTAAATTGAAAAAAGGGCAGAGATAAATGACAAACTGGGAAATATCTTACAACATACATGACAAGAAAGGGGTAATAACCTGTAAACAAGTCTTATAAATCAATATTGCCCAGTAAATTAGGAGCAGTGAATATGAAAAGGCTGTTCATATGGAAATTTCAACAAACACATACAAGATAGCTTTTTTCACTATGAGAAATGCAATCACACATTCAAAGTGAATCTGTACAAGGATATTTGCCACTGTTTGTAGAAGTGGGAAGTCAGAGATAAGTTTGTAATTATCTCTCCTCTTTACTTCCCTTTAGTTACCTAATCAATACCTTCTGTGCTCATTTAGCCTTCAATAGATTAAACAAATTATGATCATAAACATGGACTGTTGGGTCTTTTGGATCTGATGCCTGCTGTGCTACCTGACTTTAGTTCAAATTGTTATCTGCAAAGTTTTCTGCGTATACTCTTTTCTCACCCATCTTTATACATGTTGTTTCCTATGCCTGGGCATTTCCTGGCTTGGGCCTCATCTTCTACTTCCTTCATCTGTATCCACCCATATAATTACAAGTAATATATTCTACAAAGGAAAAGCAAAGGGTTGTGAGAGAAAATTAACTATATTCATTGATTATTCATTATGTGCCAAGTGTTACAGTAGGGAGTAGTATACTAATAAAAACAAGATACTCTTGTGTAATTGCTGATCCTCTCCCCCCCCCGCCCCCGCCCAGTATGCTACTACAGAAGTTACAAGAGGGAAGGGGCTCTCTTTTGATTACATGGCATTCTCTGTGTGAGTCTCCTCACACTTTACAAGAAACAAGTCTGGAGTTTTGTGCATAGTAGATGATCAGTGAAATGGAATGTGACTGCAAGAAAGAACCAGTCAATTAATCAGTTAACATACACACACATACACACAGAAAGACAGACACATACATATACACAGAGATATAGAAATAAAACATACATGTGACTTATCTATAGTATCTGTAGGTGTCAGTTATGTTAGGATGACCTAGGTACATTTTGGAAAGTATGGGACATAAGGCCTGAGATTGATGACTTCTAGTGATCAATTCAAGTTAGTTTATTAGCTATCAGGGGCAGGTTGAGGTAGTTGTGCAAGCAAGAAGTGTTACAGACCAACCTTTCCTGCCAGGGCTCTTTTTCTTCTGCACTGAACTCCCAGCCAGCCCAAGGTGGGCTTGAGCAGAACCCCTCCAGACCCTCGTACCTTGACTAGAACCAGAAAGTCCTCTCTCCCCAGAGGCTATGCAAGCTCCGAAGACCCTCCCACTAATCGCGGGCCCGGGCTGCGCTCCCACCTGAACCTCTCTTGGCCTGCAGTATCCCAGATCTGAAGCTTGATGCGTTTTCCTGGCTCGATCTCCACCAAGCGGGAGAAAAAATCCACCCCCACGGTGGGGTCCGAAACCTGGGCAAAGCGGCCTTCGGTGAAGCGGCGGATCAGGCAGGACTTGCCCACCGTGGAGTCCCCGATGACAATGAGCCGGAACTGGTAGAGCCAGATGGCCTCCATGGCCGCGGCTTGGCAGGTCTCCTAGGCCCGGGACGGGGGCGGCAGGACCGGGTGCCCCGCCAAGGCCTCAGACAGTGCGGCTTGGTTCCGATTTAGCTCGGTCGGGAGCGCATCGCTGTCTTGGAAGCCCAAAGCGAGGTAGGCCCAGGCTCCGGGAGAGCAGAGAGATGGATGCTGCGCTCGCAAAGGTGGTGAAATGGCAGCAGCATCAGCACCAAGCACTCTGACTCATCACGACAACCGGGTTACTGTAATTCCCCCCATAGACGCTACGCCTGAGCCGCCGCACTGTTTGTAAAAGGAGCGCACACAGAAATGGACCGAAGAACAACGCAGTCCTCTCCTTTCTAATTAATTGACTCTCTTCTTAATTTAAAATGTACTTGTTATTGGAAATAAGGACGTAATATCTTTGCATTGAAAGGAGCGAAACAATAAGAAATGTAAACAAAAGTCCATAATTATTCATTTGTCCAGTGTTTCCATAACCACAAAAACATATTGTTTGTTTTTAAAATAAAGTTAGATCAAACTGTACCCTTACTCTGAAACTTGCCTTTCACAATTAGAAAAACATCATAGATAACTATTTTCTTTTTTAAATTTTTATTTAAAGAAAGACTAAACAAAACAAAATAGGTAGACATAATACATACATTCAGAGAAAAAAATAAACAGAAATCACTAGTTGATGTTTACATATTGTCGTTTTACAAATAATTGTTCAAGGTACAAAAATGGAACATGTAAAGTGGGAATTCAAACAGGGAGACTGCAAGCAGTTCTGTTCAACTGTCCAACAAAAACTCAGTAACATGGTTGTCAATCCTATATACTTATATGTACATGCAATAGATAACTATTTTCAACTCGTTTTTCTTTTGTCATGTTTAAAAAAATCCTTTTAAATACAACTAGTAACACTTTATTGCTACAAGCTAGCGTTTAAAAGCATCAAAGTCAAACAGTAGTATTTTAAATTTAGTGTGCATGAACATCATACTTTCTAAAAATATTTAGCAATTTAAATTCTATCCAACAATGCAAGAAAAGACCATTTCTCTGCACTATTTCATGCACCCTGTGTTTTTATCATTTTTAATTCTTGCCAATATGATGTTAAAAAAAGTTAATGCTTGATTTCACATAATGTTGAGGTCATCACCATGTCTTCTGCATTGACCATTTGCATTTCTTCTTTTGGGAATTGCCTCTTTTTATCCTTTGTACAGTATTTTTAATATTTAATCCTTTATTATTGCCTTAACTATTTTAAAACAGATTTATAGATCCATAAGTTCACATACTACGCAATTTATCCACTTAAATGAACAACTCAGTGGCTTTCAGTATAGTCACAGGTACATGCAACAAACACCCTAATTAATTTATAGCATTTTTGTCACCTCAGAAAGAAACCCAAGGAGCTAAGAAAGAGCAGTCTATAACATGAGAAACCAAGACACTGGTATCATGGTGGAGAAGCTTGTTCTTTTCTACTTTATTTCACAGGACATGAATGGAGTCCATTCAGTGGTTCTTGGCTTTTACTGTGTTCATGCATTAGAAGATTTAATTTTGAGAGAAGAGAGAGCAATACTCTACATATTAATCTACAAAGTCAATGTAGTCCCTATCAGCCCAACTGCCTTATTCACAAGCTGATCTTAAAATTTGTATAGAATTTCAAGGGGGAATCAAAATAACCAAAATAATTTTGAAAAGGAAAAACACAGTAGAAAGACTTACCTTCAATTTCAAAATTTACTACAATCTACCATAGTCAAGATACTATTGTTCTGGCGTAAAGGTGGATATAGACTAATGGAACAAAATTGATAGTCTAGAAATAAATGCATATATCTATGGATCAAATATTTTTCAACAAGAATGTGAACTCACTCAGTGGAGAAATAATATTCTCTCTAAGAAAGAATGCTAGGGTGATTGGATATCCACACAAAAAGATAGAGTTGAACCTTTGTCTCACAGCATATATAAAAACAAAGTCAAAATGGATCATTGACCTAAATGTGAAGTAACTTTATGCTTCTATTTTTTGTGCCTTACTGAGGAAAGACTCCTTAATCTTACTGTATTTGTTTTATATTTATTTTGTGCTGGGGCTCAAATCCAGAGACTTATGTATGCTAGGCAAGCTCTCTACCTTGGAACTGTACCCCTAGACCTCATTAAACTTTATTTTCATGTTATACTTAGAACACATTAATTGTACAGTATACAGAGTTTTGTTTTAACATATATACATATATCATATTTTAGTCATATCCCCACTTCTCCTTACCATCTCTTACTGTAGCAGTTAGAGTAGAGTGTCAATTTGATTTACTTGGGGATCTCCCTTGAGAATTGTTGATCTATATTTCTGGGCATGTCTGTATGAATCATGAGGATTGGGTTTGGGTCTACATTTAGTCCCTCACCGTTTCCTCTTTGGCACTGTCACTTTGCTCTGCTTCAGAGCACTGTGAACTAAGCATCTTTGCTCCAGTAGAGCAATTAGTTTACCACCCTTAAACTCAGCCTCTCTGAAAGTCTCAGGATATGGGAAAAATGTACACACATTTTTTGCTAGAATGAAACACATACGACCTCTATTCCAGTTATTTTTGTTCCCAACTGAAACCTTCTGAGCCTGGCCTGTATTGTCAATATTCCTATCAACAGTTTGCTCTTCTGAAGTCCATTGAGAAATGCCTATCAAGCTTTGCTCATAGCATTCTAGAGAGTCTTTAGCCCACATCTCTATACCCAGTCAAGTTTTTCCTGAAAGTCCCTTAGAAAGGTTTCTAAACCATGGGGTCAAGTACAGTCACAGTAACAACTCCATTTCTCTGGTACCATTTTCTATATTATTCAGCTTTCCCATTGCAGAGACACAATACCCAATGCTCACAACTTAGAGGGGAAGATGTTTAATTTAGCTCATGGTTTCAGGGAATTCAGTACATGGCTAATCGACTCCAAGGAAGAAGCACCATAGTGGAAAGTTGTGGCAGAGCTAATATGCTTTACTTCATAGCAGCCAGGAAGCAGAAAACAGTGACAGAGCAGGATTGGAGAGAAACTAGACATGGACACCAGGACCACTTTCATGACCCACCCAAACACACCCAGAAGTGTTCTTTACCAACTCCTTGGGCAGATCTGAGGATGAGGACATTAAAGGAATGCAGGAAAACATGAAGCTGCTTGGCAGCATTTGTAACAAAAAAATTGTTTACAAAGTGTTTATAAACACTTTCATTATTCTCTTTCCTCACAAAGAAGGACTGTTTCAAGGAAAAAAGAAATGCATCCAGAACACCTAAGAACAGGCAACTGCTAATACTCAGGCCCAGTTTGAAAATAAGAATGAAGAAAAAGTGAACTCACTGTTTCGAGGGAGTAAAGCGATTGCCTTTTGTGAGACCTCTAGTGATTAGAACCTTATCCTGACAAAGAAACGTTCAAGACAGCACCCAAATTCGAGGTGTTTCATGGATACTATGGACTGCTTTTAGATAGGTGTGTAGTGGGGAAACAGGGTCAAAAGGAAGAGCAAGAATATTTGGAAAAGTTAAATGTTGCATTGGAAGGAACCACATGTAAAATTGGGGCTAAATCATGTGTGGTTGCTAGAGATTAGGACCATCAGAAAGAAACCAAATGCTTTGAACATGTTTGACCCTTTTGTCACACATAAGGTGGGTAAATGTCTTTGTAGTGCTGTATACAACTTCTTTTCTTAAATTGGTACTGGGGATTGAACTCACGACCCTGTGCTTGCAAGGCAGGTGCTTATTTTGCTGAGCTAAATCCCCAGCCCCCGTGTATGCAACTTCTAATCTGTTCCACTGGTACTCAAGTCTGTTTTTTTTTTACCAGTACCATGTTGATTTTATCACAGTACTTTTGTGGTATAATCTCAAGTCAGGGATTGTGATGCCTCCTGCCTTGCCTTTGTTGCCTAGGATTATCTTTGCTATTCTAGATCTTGTCTTTTTCCAGATGAATTTTAGGAATAGTTTCTCTAGTTTTGTAAAGTATGTTAATGATATTTTGATTTGGATTGCATTAAATCTGTACAACAGTTTTGGGAGTATGGCTATTTTCACAATGTTGGTTCTTCCTATCCAAGTGGAAGTGATATCTTTCTACTTTGTGATGTCCTCTTGGATCTCATTTTTCAGAGTACTGTAATTTTTGATACATAGATCCTTTGCTTTCTTTATAAGATTGGTTACTAAGTATTTTGGATGTTATTGTTAAGGGTGTGGTTTCCCTATGCTTTTTTTCTCAGTGAGTTTTTTGTTTGTGTACAGAAATGATACTGTTTTTTGAGTGCTGATTTATATTTACCTGTGCTACTGAATTTGGTTATTAAATCTAGGCATTTTTTGGTGGAGTTGCTGGGGTCTTCTATGTAGAGTATCATGTCATCTGAAAATACTGATAATTTAACTTCTTCTTTTCCCTGCAAATAATGATAATTTAACTTTTTTCTTTCCTATTGTTATTCTTTTTGTCTTTTTTGGTCTAATTGCTGTGGCTAATGTTTCCAGAATTATATTGAATAGGAGTAGTAATAGTGGACATCCTTGTCGTATTCTTGACTTTTAGATTGAAAGCTTTCAGTTTTTGTCTAGTTAGTATGATGTTGGCTGTTGGTTTGCCATAGCTGGCTTTTAGCAAGTTGAGGTAAAGACCATCTATTCTGATTTTCTGTAGTTTTTTTTTTTTAATCATGAATGAGTTCTGGACTTTATCAAAGGTTTTTCTGCATCTATTGAGATCATGTGATTTTCATTTTGGGCTCTATTAATATGATGTATATGTTTATAGATTTGTGTATGTTGAACCATGCCTGCATTCCTGGGATAAATCCCATTTGGTCATATTGTATAATCTTCTTGATGATTTGCTGCATTATGTTTGTTACTATCTTATTGAGGATTTTTGTATCTATGTTCATTAGGGAGATTGACTTGTAGTTTTCTTTTCTGGTTGGGCCTTTCTTTGGTTTTGGTATCGGGTAATACTTGCCTCCAGGAATGAGTTAAAGAGTATTGCTTCCCTTTCAATTTCATTAAAGAGTTTGAGAAGGATTGGCATTAAATCTTGTCTAAATTTCTTGTGTAATTCAGTAGTGAATCCATCAGGACCTGTGCTTTTCTTTGTTGATGCATTTTGATTATACCTTCAATTTAATGAAAGTGATAATGGATTATTTAGAATTTATATAT